TTTTTTTTTTTTTTTACACCAGAAATTTGACAAAAAGAGGCTTTATATCTGATTGAGGTGTCAAACTACCTTTAACAATTAAAAGATGCTGCAGCAAAGGATAATGTAATATTGAATTTTCTCTTATAATAAAAATCACCTTGTTGCGTCGTGATTGCACCAACTACAGATTTAGAGCCACCAACTGTTTTTCTTGAAGTAATAATGGAAGTTGATGGAAACATGCTGTTTCTGTTTTGCCATTTTTCCAATATTTCTTCTTAATTTTGCGCTATTATTGGCAATTATTGGTCACGTTTGTGGCTTAAATAGCATAAATGTCCCTTTCCACTGATTAAAAATAACCTGCCAAGTCAGACTGTGATAGACTAGAACATTTTATTGTCTTTTCGATGGCTTTCCAGCTGAAGATTAGTTTGTTTTTGTTGTCACGCAGAGATTAAAAGCATTGATATCAACTGTAAATACGAGAACTCAAGCACAGTTAGTAAACGATTCATCTCAGCTCAGTGCGTCCCACTTTTGTGCCTCATACAGATGACGTGAAGCGCTACCTGGCCGCCTGGATCTCTTTGGAACACCACTCGCTCTCCAGGTATCGGCGGCTGATCACACAGATGGTCTTTCTGCTTCCATAGATGGCATCTGTGATGTTGTCAATGATGGGTTTCCCTGAGAAGAAAAAGAACAGAGTGAGTATTTACACTGTGACGTCTGGACTCTCAACAGCTGAGTAAAGTGCTGCGGTGACACCATCTGGAGCGCAGATGAAAGTGCAAAATAGTAAAATCTGTTGTTGTGCTTCACATATGTGCACCCATACTGTGTGTAAATTTGCACATTACATGTTTTCTGTACACCTTTGGTTTTATAATTGGGCCAAGTCCAGATATTTGCAGTTTGGGATTCTCGCCATCACCAGGACCCACGGCAAGGATGCAGCAATATTTAAAAGCATTCTGGGAAGTGTGTCTGTGCAGTATGATGCAAGATGAAGGACAGGTTAGGTGGTTTTATGATGGCTTAACTTCACAACAACATATCCTGAAATACATCAATTACAGTCAAGAGCAAGTTCATGATTTTCCACATTAAAGGACATTTAAAGTTGCTCTGGTCACCTTCTGAAAAACATCACACAGCGATTATATTCAGCCTCATATCCAAGGATCTGTAATTTGTTATCGGATGATTAAATCCGTTATCACTGCATTTACACCTGCATCGTTCTGCATGGATCGCTCTACATCTGGTTTGACATGTAGCTGCAGCACCCCCTTGTGGTTGAAAATACAGTTTCAGTAGCATGCTACAAAGAGTTAGCATCGTAGAAACATTAATTCTGACCTCAGAAATTGACTCATGTGTTGAACTTTGTTGAATGTTTTGTAACATTAGAAGAGAAAAGACGTTAAGGACAAGGAGTAACTGATTGGTTTGGCAAATCTGGTTAACCACTACGTGTCTGTTGATGCCTTTAAAATTGTATTCAGCTCTATAAAGATGTTCTGCAAGCGTTGCATTCATTCCTTGATTGTGTCAGGATGTAGCCTCTGGTGAACTTCAGGTAGGAAAGGTTGTCTATTTATTGTAAAGTTGAAAGTTAGATCCCCAGCTCCTGTGCATGCTAAAGTGTCCTTGGGCAAGTTTCTGAACCTAAAGTTGCTGCTAATGGCAGGCGAGCACCTTGCATATGAGCTTAGCCGCCATTGCTGTGCGTAAACGGGTCAATGCAGTCCATTTATATTTCTTTTTAAAATGCTAAACTGATGTCACTTGACGACTCCTGATGTCACTGCAACCAAAAATAAAAGGGTATAGATTCCAAATGTTCGTTTTGGAATAGTTCGAGAACACATTTCAAACATCCTTTAGCTTAACCATCTTTTGCTTGTATTGCTATTAGTGAAAAGCCCCGTGAAAAAGAGCCAAAAGTAAGAATGCACAGTTTATTTGGCAGCTTATTAAGATGAATATCTGTCTGAAAGTTATGAAGACAACTCAAAAGATTACCCAAATAAGTAGCATCTGGGGACCCTGAATGTTCCAAGTTTCACGGCCAATCATCTAATTGTTCAGATATGCTAATCTGGAGAGCCATCCCACTAAAAAACCCAAACTAAAAATTAAACCTTCAATTCAAACATGCCTGTTTATTTAGGCGTAAAGTCAGTCTTACCTGGTTCAAAGTCTCGATGATGCAAACACAGCTTCCAGCCCTGTTCTCCCTCCAGTTTTGGTAAGAGCTCCCTGATGACCCAGGGCTCATCGTGGGTGTTATAGGAGATGAAGGCGTCATACTGATGAGGAGCTTCCCTGTTTTTGTACTTTGTGTCATGGAGCCAAGCCAAGAAGATGTAATAGGCATAGACCAGCTGCCACCTCATGAAATGGTAGGTGAAGGACGCGATCATGAAACAGAGGATCATGCATGTGGTGGAGACAAAGCAGATGAAGCCGGTGTCGAGTACGCAGTCCCGGAAGTCGAAGTGCAACAGCGTCTTACCTTTAAAGGTAAACGGATAGTTGCACAGATAGTTGTAAGCGTCATAAACTTGAGTGCGGGTGTCGTTTGCTGCCCAGCAGAGGAACCCGGCGTTATCGCAGTCACAGGTGAAACTGTTCCCTTGAAGATCCAAATAAACCAGAGCTGGCAGGGCCTCTATCACCTCCTTGCTGACAACTGAGAACAAATTATTTCTCGCCTGCAGGAACTTCAGGTTGGTCAGCTTGGCATTTATGAGGCCATCTAGAGAGTGAAGGCTTGTTCTGGATATGTAAAGGCTCTTCAGGTTTCGAAGTGGGAAAAACAGCTCCGGGTGGAAATTGGAAATATCATTTGAGCTGATGTCAAGCGTCTGCAGCTTAGGCGTGTAACTAAACGTGTCCCTGTGCAGGAATACAAGTTGATTGTTCCTGGCCTTGAACAGCAAAAGGTTCGTCAAACCTTGCAGGAAGTTTACAGGCAGCATATGCTTCCCCCTAAAGCGCTGAGTAAGAATGGACAACTCCTCCAGACGGGACAGTTCAGAAAACGGTGGAACAGGCAAAGCTGTACTAAAGTCATATTTAATGTGATTGTCCTCCATATCCAATCTTCTTAAGTTAGTCAGATTATGGAAAGGATTCTTGTCCAGGGTCTTTTTTGTAAGAGCGTTCGATTGCAGGGACATTTCTGTAAGATTCGCCAAGCCAATGAAACTGTCGCGTTCAAGTTCTTTTATTTGATTTTGATGTAACGATAAGTTCTGGAGGGACTGCAGGCCTTTAAATTCCCCCTGTTTGATGGCAGTGAGTTTATTTCCATTCAGATTTAGCCGTGTGAGGTTGTGCAAGTGTTCTTTGAAAGCACTGTTCAGTTTGCTTATGTGGTTGTTCTGTAGCTTCAGGACCTGCAGTTGTTTTAAATCTTGGAACAGGCAGTCTTTCAGAGCCGGGATTGAATTCTGGTAAAGGCTGAGCTGTCTGAGCTTTGTCTGATTGGCGAAATCGTGACATCCGAGCGCGCTGATGTTATTAGTGCTGAGGTCCAGCTCAGATAAAGCCGGTAGATTCCTCGTGGCGGCCGGAACAGAAGGAAGTCTGTTGTGACTCAGGGTCAAGATCCTTAGACTTCGAAGGGAGCTAAAGGCGTTGTCGTAGATAGTTTTTATACTATTATGTGATAAATCTAACTCTGTGACATTAATGCACAGCTTGAACAAATCTGAACTGACATACCAAAGCCTGTTATATCGAAGTGTCAGCGAGGACATCGTTGGGATGGTGCAGGACATGTTGATGAGCTGGACAAGGTTATGTTTCATTGAGTTCATCCTCAGAGAAATTAAAGACGAGTTCACCCTCTGCAGCAATGTTCTCATGTCACCGACAACCATTTGAAGCCCGCTGATATCAAGCTTAGACACTCGACTCAGGAAAGTGTGGTTACCTATGTCCCATCTCATCGGTTCCTTTCTGGAAGAGCCGATGTTAAACCGAGTGAGATTTGGAAAAATGTCCTTGGTCATCCTAAAGACCGCGATGGGATTTTGAGACAAGTCAATGGCACCAAGCGCCAATGAGCTGTTTGTCAGTTCCCATGACTGAAAAGTGGCTAAATTGTTGTTTTTCAGTACCAGCTCCTGCAGATGTGGCATATGCTGCAATACTAAGCGAACGTTAGCCAAGCAGTTCAGTTTGTTGTGAGAAAGATCTAGAAACTTCAAGTTCGTCAGGGATCTAAAAGAGGTGGGGGCCACTTTTTGGATGTGATTGGAGAGAATTCTGAGTTCAACGAGGCTGCGCAATCCATCGAAAACATTCTCTTCCAGTTTGGCGAGTTTGTTGTTATTCAGATTTAACTTTTGGAGGGAAATCAGAGTGGCAAAGGAGCCGCGATCTATCTGCGAGATGCGGTTGCGGTTTAGGTCTAACCGAGTCAAAAGTGTTAGATCTCTGAAATCTGATGCTTGTATTCTTAATATTCTGTTCTCGGATAAATCAAAGCCCGTCACTGTTGAGGGAATATCGTGAGGAACAGCTTTCAGTTTGTACTTGACACACACGGCGTTGTTTTGGCTGACTCGGCAAGTCTTCAGTGCAAATCCATGCGCGGGGCCAATGAAACTAATGGTGGTCAACAAGAGGAAAATGATTCTGAGTTTACAACATTTTAATCCTCCTTTTGTTTTCATTTTGTCCTCTTCTGATCCATCACCCATTTTTCAAACAAAAAAAGCAAAGTCCAGCTGAAAGGGAATTTAAATTCTCCAACATATAGTCAACCTGGTGAACAAAACAGCAAAAGATAAACCTGAGAATCCAACAAAACAGGCAAATAGCAAATGTCAGATCCTTAAAATTAGAAGATTATTGTAAATTATACTCATATTTTGAGGAAAAACAAATATATAATGTGTCAAACATCCTGTTTCACTTTACTATAGATAGATAGTGAAGGCATCCAGTAGGTTGGCAGATATAAAACCCCAAAAACACAAGAATGTAATAACCAAAACAGTAGAATAAAGAATACATTTAAAAATACGTCAAAAATGAGGAATAATCCCTAGAAACAATGACTTCAGACACTTACTGCATCCCACAAGGAAGTGATAATGTTCAGAGTGTCTTGTAGTTGAATTCTCTTCGTTTCTTAGTAGACGATGTTCCTCTTACATGAAAAGATTGAAAATAGCTTGTTTCGATGTACTCTCGTCTTGCTGTAGATGCTTTTGGTCTGCCTGTTGTCTGTGTCCTCTTTTTACAGATGGGCTGCGGAAGTGAGAGTGGCCTCAGACAAAAGGCGGGGTTTTTTTTTTGTATCTAAATCAACTAAACTGTGTATTTAAGTGTGTTTAATTGCGACCAGTTGGATGTTGAAACAGGTTTTGTTGAGGCAGTTCATGTCAGAAAGACAAGTTAATGCATTTCTGGAAACGACACAGAAGACCGTTTATGTTCGATGTACTGGACATTAACATTAATTCCTTTGATTTCTTTCAACTTCTTTATCTGTGTCATACGCAGAGTTGCGGTTTTGCACACTTCCTCTTTAAAAAAAAAAACTGTCCAGAATTGTCAAATGCAAATCAAGCAGAGCGAGTAACAGCAGCACTTCCACTTCTGTGCTGAGTCAAACCAGAGGGCTGGTGACATATTTCGCTGCTCCAATTCATTTAACCTCTGGGGTCAGTCTATTTGCTGGCGAATCACTCATTTGAACGTATAGACATTGGGGTCCAAGAGTCTGGGACCACGTATTCTCATGTAAACCTGGTGGCAATCAGACAGTGTGAAGATTCAGACACAGTTAAATGAATTTTACCTCCTCTGGACCTAATTCCCTTGAGTTGTAGCCTTCCACCGCAGCAGCGATTAGATGGCACCCAAGTGGATTTGATCGACTCATGAGAGGCTTGTTCAAGCAAATCAACCTGCAGCCTCTGCTCAATCTGGCAGGGCATCAAGTTTCCAGCAGAAAACGTCGAACTAGTTTGCTGATATTTCACCTGATTGAGCACACAGTCCGTGCACCAAGCCCAAAGTCCCCGCCATAGCAAATTCCAGCTTCCTTTAAGTCCTGTCTCTACATTAAAGGCATAAAACTCCCCAAAAATAATCTTTCAAAAGGGCCTTTCTGAGACCAAATCATGGCTGAGCTAAAGGTTCCCTAGAGGTTAGAGCATGGAGCTTTAGAACTCTTTGTAGAAGCTGGATAAGCTTCATCCAGAGGGTTAAATTAGGCTCGAGCACAGCGTTAAACCCGTAAATCTTGAAATCCTCTTCCAGACACTGTGCCTTCTTTTTCTGCTGTAAAAAGTCTTCATCTGTCTGACATTATGAGAGCCCATTAGGATGTTTTTCCTTCAAGCTGCGGCACAGATTTGTCTGTAATATCTTTTGATTTTCAGGAAATATTGTCTCCTCTGGACAATTTTTAAAAAGAATATGTAGTGGATCATTACGGAGCCTTTTTTAGTTAAATGCAGTGATAAAGTAGCATCACTGCAAGCATGAACTGATCACTGAAGTATAATATAATAGATGAAACAAGACACCTGACAGGCAGTGTGATAAGAAAAAACAGTTTTTATACTATAAGTTACTGTAGGTAGTTTAGTTGGGTCAATGCAAAGCTGTTTGATGTACAACAGGAATCTCAGTGTTTCCTGAGCCATAAATGTAATCTAAATTGTTATTTTAAAAAAATGGTAATCTCACTGGGCTTGCCTCGTAGCAAGAAGGTCGCGTCCCAGTGAGGACACCCGGGATCTCTCTGCGTGGAGTTTGCATGTTCTCCCCGTGCAGTGTGGGTTCTCTCCAGGTTCTCCGGCTTCCTCCCACAAAGTCCAAAAACATGTTGAGGTTAATTGGTGATCCTAAATTGTCCATAGGTGTGAATGTGAGTGTGCTTGGTTGTCTGTCTCTAAGTGTAGCCCTGTGATAGACTGGTGACCTGTCCAGGGTGTCCCATGCCTTCACCCTGAGTCAGCTGGGATAGACTCCAGCCCCCCACGACCCTAATGAGGATTAAGAGATGTATAGAGGATGGATGGATGGATGGATAATCTCACTGCAGTGTATTTGGGAACAGGTCTGTATGTTTGGGGTGTTGTATTATTGTCTTTTCGTACTTTTTCCCCCATTAATTAATTTAATTTGCTGCTTGTTTTTTAAATTACAAAAACTACAGAACGTATACAAACACAATTGAACAAAAAAAGTTTCAAACTGGTTAAATGTGACTTTTTAAATGTTGAGATTTACTTCTTTTTTATTATTATTATTATCTGACTCTGAGGTTTCACCATTACAATAGAGGTTATTAAAATTTAATTTCTTGTAAAATGTTAAAATATTACTTTCAGAAAATTCATCTCTCCAGAAACAGCCTTTGTCAATCTGAATATTTTATATCAACAAAACACAGTTTGTCCAGTTTTTATTTAAACTACTTTACACTGAAGAAATTGTCCCTATTTTTACTGTCCGCTCTGTGACTTCACAACCCCAGGATCAGGCAGCGAACACACCGTCAACACATAAAGCTTTGTTCACTGATAAAGACTTCACTAAATAAAGAAAAGGAGGATGAGGAGCATCTATAAACCACTTCTCAGGACGCCAGGAGATTAAATATAGCAGCATTTCATAGAGGATGATGGAAAAAAGTTATGTTTACTGATAAAATAGTAAGAGAGAGGTGTGTTTTAGGAGACCAAAAGGACAGAGCTGAGCTATTAAAGCCACAACGAAGCATGGAGCTGCAAATATCCCAGCATGTTCTTGGAGAAATATTCATCCTGAAGCAGGATAATTAATCAATCAAACTCTATTTACACAGCACTTTTCAGATGAATTACATACAGTTTAAAGCGTCTTCCAAGCAGCTGATGTTACAGAGGCTGTTAAAGCTAGATTTAGACACGAATGCACACCAAAAAAATGCAAGAAGGCAACATATTTTAAGGGTCCTTGAGGTGATAAAAGATAAATAAATAGTATCAATGAAAATAACAATAAAAAATAAAATGATCTAATATTAAAGAAAATACATGTATTGTGCTACTGTGAAATATTGATTATGTAAAATAAAATAAATCAGGATAATGATAAATAAATACAATATGTGTAAATGCCAAAACCATACAACTACAAAGCACTACATAAAAGTCAGACTTAATCGATTGTTTTTTTTTAAGTTTTACATGTAAATATATAAAAAATTACAGCTCCTTTCACGTTGTCTGGAAAAAGCAGCTTGACCAGATGATTTTTGTTTCTGCTTTGTGACTAAAAGAGAAGAATTGAAAAAGGCCACACTTCATAGATTCAAGAACCAACAGGAAGTGTAATGTTGATGTGAGTACAGCAAGTTATATTGTGGGCCTCTTTTTTTTTTTTTTAGCCTGTATTTGTTCACATTTTGGAAACTGAACTAACTAAAAACTTCAAATCGTGTTGATTCTCAGGCAGCTTCTGCAGAGTTCTGCTGCACATTATCTTGTACTGATGACTCACTGTTCTCTCTCTCTGGGTTTGTTTCTTTCTTTTTTTGTAAATGCAATACATAAGTGAATCCACCAACGATATTTTATTCATAGGAACATTAGTATTCAGTTTTTCAATGATTTACAGACCTACAGAGATGTCCTATTACCAACTCTTTACATTTTTCTGCTAGAATTCTGTTACTAAGTAGTGACATGGTGCATTTAATTATCCTGAACTCTTCTTTCGTGATATTAACCCTTTTTAAAGGCATGACTAAAACTTGACCGACAATAACTCAATATTTGTCCAAAATGATTAATATTTTGTCTGGAAAACTTCAAAAGTTGTCTAAAATGATTAAAAACCTGACCAAAATGACTCAAAATTTGCAAAATATGACTAAAGCCTGACTAAAATTACTCAAAAGTTGACTAAAATGACTCAAACCTTGTCCCCAAAGCTTCAAAGCTTGTCTAAAATGACTAAAGCCTGTGCAAAATGACTCAAATGTTGTCCCAAAAGCTTCATAAGTTATCCAGAATGACTAAAACCTGAATACAATGACTCAAAAGTTGTCCAAAATAACTCAAAATTTGCAAAAAAAAAAAGGACTAAAGCCTGACTAAAATTACCCAAAAGTTGGCTAAAATTACTTAAACTTTGTCCCCAAAGCTTCAAAACTTGTCTAAAATGACTAAAATCTGACCAAAATGACTCAGAATGTGTCTTTTTGAGCTCCTGGCAGCATTAAACTTTGTTAAATGGACAAAATGGTGTTTTGTATTTCTAAAAATGATCACTGTTGTAATTTCCTTTCTGTCTGGTTGAAGTCACACATGAGTGAGTCACCTATTATGTGGTTCAGAAAAACTCTTTCTCTCTGTCAAAGGGTGAAAAATGTCCACTTTTACACAATCTGTGTGATGTTTTAGCTGCTCAGACTAAATAGAGGAAGAACTTCTGGGTTTTCTTTTCCACTGAAATGTAGTTTAGAGTTTACATTTGCTTTCTTCACCGGTGGTGACTTTCTTCAGTTGAAACTGGACATTTACATAAACTATATAAAAAGACACATGATGTTTTTTCTTTCTCACTGTCTGACATTAAATCAGACTAAACTTTTCCTGTTTTAGATCAGGTAGGATTACCAACATTAGTTATATTTGCTGAACGCCAGAATAATAAGAGAGAGATTTTTTTTAAATGATTTTCTTCCAAGTAGGAAGTTTCCATCCATTTCCTTAGTATTTGGTAGCGTTGCTTCAGTATTCCCACATGATGTTCTTTCCCTCTGATGCCATCTATTTCGTGAAGTGCACCAGTCCCTCCTGCAGCTAAACACCTCCACAGCATGATGCTGCCACCCCCGTGCTTCACAGTTGGGATGGTGTTCTCAGGCTTCAAGCTTCCACCTTTATCCTCCAAATGTAACGACGGTCATTAAGGCCAAACAGTTCAGTTTTAGTTTCATCAGACCAAAGGACATGTCTCCAAACATGAAGGTCTTTGTCCCTGTGTGCATTTGCAAACTGTAATCTGACTTTTGGACTGATGTCTTCTTCCTCTCTGAGTATCCTTCCAGCCCATGTTGGTACAGGACTGGTGTCACTGTGGCTAGCGACTCTCTGACCAGCTTCAGCAGCATCTTCACAAAGTCTTTAGCTTTGGTTCTGGGGTTGATGTGCACATTTCACACCAAAACATCTCTGGGACACAGAACCCGTCTCCTTCCTGA